AGGACCCAACACCACAGGATGGTTGGGAAAAAGACTTGGAGGACGAGAAGGCGCAGGCGTAGCCCGACGTCAGTATCAGCACTGTGCGCGGCAAGCTGCGTACGGGGGCAGTCGGCCTTGTGGTGCTGCTCAGGGAGGCGTGGGCGGCGACCCAGAGACTCGACGTCAACAATTATGTTCCTGGGGCCATCGTGTTCGAGAAGGGTGGGCGGGGGAAGGCTCTTTCCTTTTCTCGGCGAGGAGCGGGGGGCCAGCCTGGTGCCCGGCTCCATCAGAGGTAACGCTGGGCGCATCGGCACGAGTAGGGTGCACAGTGGCATTGTGTTTCGGCGTTTCACAGCGAGTCGTGGGAGGCGCACCCAGTGCCCTGCGTCGACAGTTGCTACGTTGGGGATGGGACTGCGGGTTGACTCGGAGGTTGTAGCGTAGGTGGTCTTGTAGTTTTGGGAAGCTGGGTGGGGGGCCGCCGCCAGTTGGCGCTACTGACGACCGTGGCTGCTGGGGCTCCTGGTTGCGTATGGCAGCTGTTACGTCAGGCGCCAGTGGCAGAGCGTACCACTGGCACGTTGGGGAGGCGATGAAGGCGAGGGCGGTAGGGGCGAAGGTGGTGGCTACCGGTGGGCCGGCAGTGTTATCCAGCTGAGGTGCTCGCCCTGGTCGTGTTCGGTGCCCACGCCAAGCCGGCGTGCGTCGGCACCTCCGAGCTTAGCAAGGAGCTGTGGCAGATCACCCCAGTGCCCTCCTTGGGACCACGAGGGCAGAAATTACTAACTGCACCTTCTGGATTGGAGCGGAGCCACTCGTGCGGGGACAGGCCGTGCTGGCGCGGCAGCGTTCTGAGTGCCTGGCAGGACCGGCGGGCGAAAGACCCCGTTGGCTCCTTCCTGGGTGCGCCCTTCCTACCCGGCGCGTGGCGGCGCGGCGGTAGGGAGAGCACTGGCGTGAAACGAGAAACGAGGAGGAGGAGGAGGAGGAGGAGGAGGAGGAGGAGGAGAAGGAGCAGGAGTAGCAGTAGGGGGAGGAGGAGGAGGAGGAGGAGGAGGAGGAGGAGGAGGAGGAGGAGGAGGAGGAGGAGGAGGAGGGGGGAGGAGGAGGAGGAGATTGGAGGAGGAAGACGTGAGGGGGAGGAGGGGGAGGAGGGGGAGGGGGAGCGGGAGGAGAAGGATGAGGAGAAGGAGGAGGAGGAGGTGGAGGAGGAGGAGGAGGTGGAGGAAGAGGAGGAGGGGGAGGAGGAGGAGGAGGAGGAGAGGAGGACGAGGAGGGGGAGGCCCCTGAAGAGGCGGACAGAAACGAGGGGAAGGTCGTCAGGACCGATGTGTAGCCCCTCCTCCCCCCAAATATCCGACGCGGCGACTTCTGCCGCAGCGTCTCCACGAGATGAGGTCTGAGCCCGTCCACGGAGGCTCTTTCTCCCGAGCCGTTTTGGGGCGGTCCTGGGGCCCGGCCCCGAGGCCGAAAACTGTCACCGTCTGTCGTTGTTTCGCAACGCGACAATGTCAGTCTGGGTCCCGCACTGCCTCGAGGTCCGACGTTGCGACAAAAATGTGGCATCGCGAAAAGTCACGACAAGAGCCAGATAGGCCCGTCTTTGCTGTTGCCTTTTTGCGCCAGATCCATCCGTGAGGGTCCTGAGGCCAGAAACCGAATGAGAAACCCTGGCGTGAAACGGTTGCAACACCCGGATCTCTGGGTCCCATACACCTCCGGACCTCAAAAAAGCACTCAAAACTTCTCCCCCAGGCGCTTCTTTTAAGCCCCTTCCCATTGATCCATCCCCCGCCGTGGGAGGGACCAGGGCTTGTGACCCCCCTCCGGGGTAGAGCACCCCTCCCTCGGAGAATTCCCAACCATCCTGTGGTGTTGGGTCCTCGTTTTGAAGAGACAGCGCCCTGCGTTCTCCTACTCCTCTCCTCTCCTCATCCTCCCTCCCCTTCCTCCTCCGATCCCTGCCTCTGCCCTCCGAACCAGTCAACCATTTGGGCACACCTCTCACACGTTTCGCGGCCCCACATGGAGCCCCACCGAAGGCCCAAGCGTCAGCGTTCGCATGCGGCCGCCGAACCAATTTTGGCACACCCCTCACACGTTTCCTGGCCCCACAGGGAGCCCCACCGAAGGCCCAAGTGCCAGCGTTCGCATGCGGCCACCGCACCCAGTTTGGCACACCACTCACACGTTTCGTGGCCCCACATGGAGCCCCACCGAAGGCCCAACTGTCAACGTTCGCATGCGGCCACCGAACAAATTTTGGCACACCCCTAAAAAGTTTCCTGGCACCACAGGGAGCCCCACCGAAGGCCCAAATGCCAGCGTTCGCATGCGACCGCCGCACCCATTTTGGCACACCACTCACACGCGTCGTGGCTCCATAAGGGGGGCCCCACCGAACACCCACGTGCCAGCGTTCGCATGCGCCCACCGCACCCATTTTGACACACCCCTCACACGTTTGGTAGCCTCATAAGGAGCTCCTCCTAATGCGGTGCATACAACGACGGTGCTCACAACTGCATATGGTTGGGTCCTTCGTCAGGCTAATTTGTTGGCTCCAGAGCGTCGTCGTCGTCGCCGTCGCCGTCGCCGTCGTCGTTGTCATTGTCGTGGTCCCCCTTCAAGTTTTGCGGCACCGGCCGTAAGGCTTTTGCAGCCCACCCAAAGCCAATGCCCTGGGCGGTCCTGGGGTATACAGGTATACAAATATAGATATGTGTGTATATATCATATGTGTATGTCTATGTATATGTGTACAAATATACATGCGTACATAGCTATATGAATGTGTGTATGTACACGTGTATGGATATGGATCTCTTTCTACATACCTGTATATATACATGCAGATATGTATATGCACATTCCTCTATAGTCGCCCATCTACCGACCTAAAAAACAAACTATAGATATAGAGAGATCGGTACACACATATACATATAATGATTGGTTCTAACGCCTGGAGGAGGATGCGGGTCCCCGTCATCGAATGCCCCATCGTGGCCGTCCACGGTGGCCCCCCATCATCGTGAACTGCGCAGACCTGTTGACCATCTTCTGTCGCCAGAAGACACACTCAGGACATCCCCCGACACACACCCCGAGGGCACTGGGCAGCTTTTCCAACCGCGCCCGCCCGCAGCGACGAGAGGCTGCAGAAGAACCCCAGGAGTCGTCGACGCCGCCGTCGAAGATTTCGTTGACTGTTTCCCCCTGGAAACTGGTGCGCCGAAGAGGCGGGCTAGGAGACGGGGGGGGGCGCATCATGACCCCCTTTCTTCATTCATCACGTCCCACATTCCCTGGCCCCCCACTAGTCCGCGCACCCGCCTCGGGCCACGAAACTTTGGGGATTGCATGGTCATGGCCATGGTGATACACACACACACACACACACACACACACACACGCGCGCGCGCACACACAGACACACAGACACAGACACAGACACAGACACAGACACAGACACAGACACAGACACAGACACAGACACAGACACAGACACAGACACACACACACACACACACACACACACACACACACACACACACACACACACACACACACACACTTTTGCCTTGCGCACGAGGCGGCAGAGGGAGGGGGAATGGTTTCTGAGGAGGCGGCTGCCTCTTAGAAGGCGACGGCCGCCCTTCTAAGACGCCAGGGGCGCGCCGCTTCTTCGAACCACCCGGGCAGCTTCCTAGAAAAGCGCGGAGCTGGTTCTCAGACGCAGAGCCAGCTTCTCAGAAGCCCGCCGCCTGCTCACTGAAAGCACGCCGGGAACAGCGCCTGAAGAGCAGCCGCAAGCTTGGAAGGGGCGCCCGCGCCTCCTGAGACGGGGGGCCTCCGGCGAGCCCTCCCCCCCCCCCGCCAACCGCCACGCCACCCCCCTTCTGCGCGCGGCTGACACGCGCGCGTGTGGCGGCCGCGGCCTCACGCGCAGCCCCGAGGCCGAGCAGGACCCGAGCTGGCGCCCGCGCGGCCGAGCCCTCGGGCGAATCGCTCTGGACCCGGCGCGCGCCCGCGGCAGCAACCATCCTGGCAAGAACCTCGGACTGGGTCGGGCCGGTCCTCCTACAGGCGGATGTCGCGGGAAAAATGTCCAAGCATTCAAGAAATACCCCCAAGTGTTCAAATAATCCAAAAGTCGTCCCCTGACTATTGTTTTTGTTATCTTTGAATCTCCCTCCTGTGGAGGGACACGCCCGACTTAAACCTGGGACTGAGGAGCGCTCTTCAAGAACACGGGACCCTCCGCCGGCCAAAGTGAAGAGCATTCGAGGCTGCTCTCCCCCAGGATGCACAAGAGCATCCAACAACAAGCACAAAGAAAAAATTCGGGTACCCTCCCCGAACCAACCTCGATCTTATACCTCGGTCCGACTGCAACGCCGCCCGACGCTGGACCTCTGAACGGGGACGTCGCGCGAGAGAGCACAGGGTGGGCATAACCGTCGAGGCGTGGAAGGCAGGGCGCTGTCGCGCCGCCCGAGGCTGGAGACCTCCTGAGCGGGAGAGCAGCACGAGGACGCAGGACGGGAGAACACCTGCCGAGCGACGGTGGCGGGGTGGCGGGAGTGGTAAAATGAGGAGGAAGAGGAGGAGAAAGAGGGGGAGGAGGAGGAGGAGGAGGAGGAGGGAGGAGGATCTGCGGAGAGCAGGAGCACATGCGGGAGAGACGGCACCGCGAGGGGGACAGGGGGAGGGCCACAGCATCAGGAGGCAACGCCGGAGGACTGGAAGCACATACGGACAGACGGCACTGATGGGGGGGATGGGAGGGCCAAAGCAGGCCAGCAGGGAACGCAGAAAGGAACGGGCACAATGCCCAGACAGACAGACAGACAGACAGACAGACAGACAGACACACACACACACACACCCTCACACACACGCACACACACAAACACACACGCCTATACGCACACACATGTATATCGATCCACATACATAACTGCACACATATATGCATGTATGCATGCATGCAGACATACATACATACAGGCAGACGGGCAGACATGCATGCATCCATACATGCACACGTACATACGTACATGAATGCATGCCTACATACATAAATACATACATACCTATATACATGCATACACACATGCGTACATACATATACATACCTGCATACATACATACATACATCCATACATGCATGCATACATACATACACGCATACATACATGCATACATCTATGCATACAGACAGACAGACAGACATACATACGTATATACATACATACATACATACATACATACATACATACATACATACATACATACATACATACATACATACATACACACATATACATACATGCATGCATACATGCATACGTACATGCGTGCGTGCGTGCATACATACATACATACAGGCATACATGTACGCATGCATGTACACATATACTATCATATATACATGCATACGTGCATGCAGACATACATACATGCAAACATAACGTTGAACATTCATACGTCGATGTATACATACATATACAGGCAGACATAAACACTAACACATGTACTTAACACCAACACACATGCACGCATACACACATACATGCATACGTACATGCATGCATACATACAGACATATGTTCATACATACATACACATGTAGATACATACGCACATACATGCATACAAACATACACGCATACACACATACATACACACATACAAATATGCATACATACATGCATGCAGACATGCATACACGCATGCACGCATGCACGCATGCATGCATACATACATGCATGTAAACATACATAAAAATATGTATGTATGCATACAACCATACAACCATACGTACATACATATATACATACATATATGCATATACATATACATATACATATGCATATACATATACATATACACACACATATGTGCATATCGGTATACACGTATACCTATATATATATATATACATATATATATATATATGAATCTATAGGTCCGTCAGCGGCGAGGCAGAGTTGGCTGCACCAGCGACAGAGCTAGACAGGGGGCACCGAAACCTCTCGCTCTCTCCCTCTCTCTCTCTCTCTCTCTCTCCCTCTCTCGCACACACACACACACGCACACCCACACCCAGGTCCCCACGCCCCTGCCCAGACCCACGGCGCCATCACTCGGCTCAAGACGTGACTCCTGCCTGGAGCACCTCTCGTCCTGTCCGCCGCTTCTGCACGGCCCCGGGGCCCGCGGCAAAGGGCCCCGGGAGCCCGACTGAATGCAGAAGAAGAGCACCTTCCGTCGTGATCTCTGTCGTGGCTCGAGGGGGTCTGGCATGAGAGCCCAGAATCGAGTCGTTCAGTCGGGTCGGGCGAAAGGGGGGGATAGCAAAGGGGGGGTTTGAGAATCAGCTCACGTAGCTGATTTTTCCGGCGCCTCCCGGCGCCGGGAGGCGCCCATGTATCGAGGAATGGGCCCCTCGGTGAGGCCGAAACCAGCTGCATGCAGCAAATTTCGTAACCCCCCCTTTCCCAATCCCCCCCTTTCGCCCGGCCCGATTCAGTCATATCGGCGATCGAAACGAATCGGACCGGCGGAAGTCGGCAGCCCAGTCGGGAGAAATCGGCTCGGCGGAAATCGGCGGGCCAGTGAGACCCCCGCTGAGAAGCCGCATAATCCGAGTCGGAATCCCAGGTCGCAGCGGAATCGGAATCGACGACCACAGAATCGAGTCGGAGGAGTCGAAAGGAGCCCAGAGGGTGGTTCTTGGCTGATAAGCCAAAACGTATCCCCTAATCCTTGGGTAGGATACGTAAGCCAGGAGGGCAAAAACATTAGGGACATGGGGACGTGTGTGTTGCAGATGTGTCAGACAAAACCGCCCATATGCTTAGGAATATCCCCAACAATCGTAGGCCACGAATTCATTGTGTTATCAGGGCTAGGGGCTGGATTCTGATTTATTTTGTATGTTTTCGGGTGGAGGGAGGAGCGGAAGATGACCACGACACTGCCGGTCGGAGCCACCAAATCCTGCCCCCCCTGGGCAGACAGAAGTCAGCAGAAGGAGCTGCCCGTGACAACTGATCGCCTGGGCGAGCGCGCGACGAGGAGGAGGACGAGGAGGAGGACGAGGAGGAGGAGGACGAGGAGGAGGAGGAGGACGAGGAGGACGAGGAGGAGGACGAGGAGGACGAGGACGAGGAGGAGGACGAGGAGGAGGACGAGGAGGACGAGGAGGACGAGGGGGACGAGGAGGAGGATTGGACGCCCCCGAAGGGTGGGGCCTGCCGTCCGCGGTCGCCAGGCCAGGGTCGGCCCCGTGGCGGAGCAGCAGGGACAGGACCCCCGCGCGCCCGTACTTGCAGGCGTAGAAGGCGGGCGTCTCCCCGCGCAGGCCAGAGGCGCGCCTCGGGTACTCCAGATTTCGTAATAAAGGGAGGGGGGTCTCATTTCGGGGGGGGGTCTCGTCCAGGCTATCTTGGGAGGCCTTGGAGGGTCTGGGGACGATGTTTTGGAGGGTTCTCCCACGGGGGGGGGGTCTGAAATGGCTTGTCTTGGAGGGTCCAGACCCCCTCCCATTTATTACGAAATCTGGAGTATGTATCCGGCGGCTGCACGCAAAGGAGCAGCTCTGCTGTGGATGGGGCAGCGCTCGCCCCGCCCCCCCTTTCAGGATCCGCGGGGGGACGGGGGGGGGAGGCCGCGTGCTGTCGGAACGGGGAAGAGGGGGGGGTTCGAGGAGGAGGAGGAGGAGGAGGAGGAGGAGGAGGAGGAGGAGGAGGGATGGGGGGCGGGGCAAGCTCCGTCGGAATGCCGATCGCCCCCCTTGATGAAGACCGCACCTAAAGGCAAGAATGACCGTGAATGCGCCGCCTGCCCATTGCCGAGTGCGGTGCAGCCGTGCTCCGGCAACCCCGAGACCTGGGCGCTGCCATCCTTTCAGCACGGGGCGCTCTCTTACCCGGCGTCGGGCCCCAGGACCATCACAGCTGGAACCCGTTCCGAGCATGCCGCGGGAAAATTGGGCTCAGGGCCGGGCTTTGGCAGTGCTTCTTGGAGTCCCGAAACGGTGCGGTGACAGACTGTTCGGTGACCTCGGAACCCCAAGAAACCTCACCGCACGGCCCGTCACCGCACGGTCTTGGGACCCCGGAGGCCCCTGTCGCCCGAGACGTCCTCGGAGAGGGACCCGAGTCCCGAAACCGTGCGGTGACCCCGAATCCCCACCGACTCGCCGCACGGTGTGGTCACCAAACCCGCTTGGGGGCCCCCGAAATGCGGCAGGTGGAAGTGCAGGGGAGAGGAAGGGAGGAGGAGGAGGAGGAGGAGTAGGAGAAGGAGGCAGGAGGAGGAGGAGACGAGGACGAGGAGGATGAGGAGGAGGAGGAGGAGAGGAGGAGGGAGGAGTTTGAAGGAGCAGGAGTAGCAGTAGGGGGAGAGGAGGAGGAGGAGGGAGGAGAGGAGGAGGAGAGGAGGAGGAGGAGGAGGAGGAGGACGAGGAGGAGGAGAGGAGGAGGAGGAGGACGAGGAGGAGGAGGAGGAGACAAGACAAGACAAGACAAGACAAGACCCATGGGGCGCCAATGATCCAACCACCGTCAGAGCAAAGCTGGCGCCTAGGTTCTGCGTCAGCAGGCCGCGCCGCGCCGCCAGGCACGCTGGTCTGCGCCCCAGTGGGGGCAGACACGGGCTCGGCGGCGGGCCCTACGGCGCGCAGCCTGTGGCTGCCGCCGCGAGCACCTATCCCGAAAAGAAGCTCTATCCGAGACACGACTCAAGAGCAAAAAGATCGAGACGAGCGACGAGCGATTACCGAGCCGCCCCACCCCGACCAAGACCACCCCTGCCGCGACGCGTCGGTCGCTGTCTGGGGAGGGCAACCGCGGGCCCCACTTCGGGAGCAGCTTCGAAAAAGAAAGAGGAATGAGAAGAGGCGGGAGGATCCCCAGGAGGCTCAAGCCCAGGAGGAGGACGGAGAGGAGTAGGAGTCAGGACAACAGGCGGCGGCAGGGCAGGATGCCCAGATACAAGTCTGGCGGAAGCCTCACTTAGATGACCACGCTGCAAAAGTCTCTGGGCACGCTCACTCATAGACCAATCGAAACTCACTTGACTATGTCCAGGAGGCGCTGCGCCTCTCGCACCAAAACTCCGCGAGGTGCTCGGCCCACGGTGCGCTCCCCTCCCTGCGCCTTCAGCATGTTCCTGATGGCCGCGAGAAATTGCACGCCCACGTTGTTGCCTGGAGTCGTGTCCATCAGGAATTGTACGTTCGCCATGTTTTCGCCTGCCTTCGTCTTGCCCTTCAAGCGCTTGACCCGACAGAACCTCACCACGTCGCACAGGATCACTGGATCTGCTGCCGTGCTCACCGCGCTGTCCCAGTACTCCTTCGCGGCAATCTGCACTTTGGGAAACTCCTCCGACTCCGAGCCGACCGTAGCTGCTTCCACCATCGCCGAGAACACTCGAAGAAATGGGGCGCACAACTTCTCTTTCTGATAAGTTCTTCCATCTTTGACTGCGGCCTTCTCCTTCTCCCTCTCCGCCTGGGCCTCCGAATTGAATGACTGATTCTCCTCGAGCATGGCTTGCACCACTGCGATGTCTACTGGTAGAAGCCACGTATCGTAGACCGCTCCGATTAAAGCGCGCAGCTCCGCCTCGTCATTTAGCACCAGCTTTGCCAACACTACCACTAGCTCGTCGATGGACTGCCTCTTGTCCTTGAGAACCTCTCCGACACGGGCGACCTTGCTTTCTCGTCCCTCTGAAGACTTCGCCATCCACGCCGGCCTGCGAGTCGCCATTGGAGCGCCCCCCTCGGGCATCAGGAAACACGTAGCTCTGACGGTATCGGTCGTACACATGCAAGGCTCGAGGAAAATGTGTGCGGACGTGGATCTGATAATCTGAGTAGCAGGATGCATGCTATTCACACAATAAGCACTGAAGGTCATCCACTGAACGCAATGGTTCACAAGTACGGCGACCTCCTGCGCAACACCATCCCCTGACTAGTGAACCCACAAGATGTCTACTAGCAGTAGTACTTCCAGAAAAAATCTCCAAGCAATTCGGACACTGATTTCCTTTGCATAGTACATGGCCTAGAGAACGGAAATGATGACTAAATCCCAAGTGGTTCAAAGCCGATTTCTTATCAGTACAGTTACAGCTACATCTAGCCAGGTCCCCAGACTCCTGCTTAGAATATACTCCACAAACCCAGCGATATTCTCCGTCCTCAGCCTCCTCCACCTCGAGAGCACGCCCAAGACCAGGATCTAGAAAACCTGGGGGAGGAATCCGAACCGTTTGAGAGTGACGACGGAGTTGGGAGAAGTCGATTCTGCACAGACACCGCCCAAGCTCCTCATCCCACCACAGTGCCAAAAAAGAGCCCTGAAGCCTTGCGAGGAGATCAGCTCCTTCATCGATGCTTTCGAGACTCTCCAAGTCCGAATAGACAAGCCTTGCCCATGGATTTGCGTGCTTAGTCCATCTTCCCATACGGTCGTACTGCTCATTACCGTCCATGGGCGAGACTCCAAAGAGAGCGGATAATATCTGCGCGTGCCGTGCAGGAAATCGGATGAATTGCACAAGCCACCCTAGGCGGCGCACACATAGCTCAAGGAAGGAAGGCACGATCCTCCAATGTCTGAAAACCTGCTCATTTGTGAGAGTGCGGGCGTGATCATCCTCCTCGTGGCTGCTGGCTCCGCCCCTCATAGCTACGCTGCAATACCGAATAAAAACTGAATCTAGTCGCTTACACTGACCCTCTGTGACAAGATATATGCCTCGAGATTCTGGATGCCCGCGTTTTGAATCCCAAGAAGAACCATGCGTTTCAAACGATAAGCCACACCGTCATGCGCCCAAAACTTCCCCATAGAATGAAAGGATCCCATAATACTAGCAATCCTTTTGGTGATTTCGGCCGTTAGAGCTCCCACTGCATGGATCTGCCCTCCAAGCACTCGCATAGTAGGAGCAATGCAACCTTGAAAGAAACTGGGCTCCGTGACCCGCAGCAGCCCGGTCGCAAACGCCAAACCTGGCCCAACCAGAGAGACGATGGCGTTCTGTTTAACTGCAGTATGTGCCCATCCCCCCTTCCGTAAAGCCTCATCCAACTTCATGTTTGAAAAAAAAGCATGAGCAGAGCTGATTTCTGTTAAGCCCGCATCAATAGTAAAAGCTTGCGGCCCCCCACCGAGGTGCAATTTCGTGAGATCGTCTGCGTGCCTGGTAAACCTGAAATCCACCTCTACCCAAGTGATGGGTCATTCAACACAAAAAAGCTCTTCGCCGTCTAGGTTCTCTCTGAGCTCCTCGCTCCACTCCATGACAGGAATATCATCGGCTCTGCAAAAACTTGCCACTGCGCACGGGTCGCCCATCAAAGCCCCGCAGCGGGGGCGAACAATCAACGTCCTATCTCGCGCTGGTAAACAGATCGTAGCGGCTCGAAACCTATCTTCACCAAACTTCTGATCGTCGAGATCCAAAAGCAAACGATTCGCCTCCTCCAGAAGCCTCCAGGAAGCAGAAGGAAATGCACTGCTTAAATCCTTGCTGGTCCAGCACGCACTGTAACCACATACTCTCAACCGGCGCAGCATAAGTTGAACTACTAACATGGCACCTTCTTTTCGCCGCCCTCGAGCAAAACCGCAATCGCAAGGTCCCAAAGGAGATGGTTTGCGCCTAGCCATTGCCCCAGCCAGCCACGTCTTCCCGAGAGGTTCTAAAAGATGAAAGACGCGTTTCCCTCGAGGACCTGCCGCTGCACTCTTGGGGGGCCCACGACCGAAACTGCGATTCCACATTCGCGGGAACCTCCCAGCAAACCTTATACAAGTTAGTCCCTCTACAAGAAATTCTCTAGCACGCGCAGCGTCTAGATCAACAGCTGCCCCAACGCCAAGCCTATCTCTGCGCAATCCAAAAAGAGGGTCAGCAATAATATTCCACACCTCGGCAGGCACCGCCCAGGGTGGGCACGCACGTCGTTTGGGAACTCTTCTCAGATATGCTGTAATTGCTGCTAGATCCACCTCCGCCTCCACCGAATACGCCCCGGGGCGCCCCTCCATCCTCTCCTCGTCGCGGTTGGCCTCCTCGCCCTCCTTCACCTCCACCACCTCCATACCACCACGGGGCCCTTTGAGCTCCCAAACTGACAACCATTCAGCGGCAGTAAAAAACGCTCCTTGAAGGTGCCTAAAAGAACGGCCCCGTGGTCCACGACCACGGCAGGAGAGAACTCGCACGAGTCGATAGACTTCCTTGAAATCGCGTCTGCGCCAGGCTTGCTCGAGTTCCTCTGTGACCTCCGCCCTCCACTTCCTCATCTGACGCCTCCTCATCTTGGCACACTGCTAGCCTCCTTAAGCTCATTCTTGATCGTCTCCTCCTCCTCCTCCGTGCAAGCCTTGCTCAGAGACATTCTCAAATCCGATCGCTGACGAACAAGAGACGCTCGCTCGCTGACCTGCTCATGATAAAAAGGCGAGGCCCCTGCTGCATTCCCCGTGAACACCTCGCTAGCACAATCCTGAACTGCACTCGTGAGCAAAGTGAAATACTTATCTGGCTGACCAGCCTTGTAGCTAGACTCAAGCTCGTCTTTGATATGTTCCAACTTCGTAGTAAAGCTACCCAAGAAACTCTCACGGCAACGAGAAATCTTCATAGTATCAAAATTCCAAAAAAAGCCGCTTGGGAGGAGCATCCTCAGCACGAACAGGTTCCCAACGAAGTTTAAGATGAAGAGGGACGTGGTCCCGTGGAAAACGTGATGGTATGAGTTGATGACGCTTCATAAGTCTTCGAAGTGGTCCTCCAGATAAGACTAGATTTCCAGCAGCAGCAGGCCCAAATATATAATCAACTCGACTCGAACTCCCATCGTTTCCATACCACGTAGGCTCAATATTTTCCCTCAATCCGAGCAGAACCATTCCATATTCCTCCATTATTTCTCTGACAAGCTCACCAGCCCCTCCCTCAAGGTGCTCCTTAGTTGCTAGCGAAGCATCCACAACAGTCGTATCTGAATACCGCCACACACCGCCCTGAAGGGCTAGACCAATCCCGTCATTAAGATCCATGCAGAAAAAAAGGCCATTGCCCTGGATTGCCTGAGAAGATCCACCATCACCTTGCGTAGCCACGCTGCGAGTCTTGTGGCTGTCTCGAAATAGTGTTGTTTGCCTCGAAGCCCTCGAAGACGAGGAGGAAAATGCAGGCCGAAAGCTGCTACATCCAGTCCGCTTCTTTTGAGCCTAAGACCGTAAGCACGACCTGCAAGTTCTGGGCCTGGCTCCCAACGTCGAACGATATGAGATTCTCGTAGGCCGCAAGCAAGAGTGAAGGCGATGCCAGTAGACTTATTCGTATAAGGTCCCTTCCCAGCACCCGCCTCCACTAGAAGAACGCCATTGACATGCCTCTTTTGGACTGGACAATCTGGAAGCGCTCTGTTTTGACTGCCTACGAAGACGCAGATGCGAAACGAACGACACGTAGTATTGAACACTTCCTCCTGACGAACAGCTGAATTGAAACTCAATGGGTTCCACGATAAGAAGTCTGAGAGACATTTGGAACAGGCCGTGCCTCAGCGGAACATGTGCCGAACGGCCTGGGTATTTACGTTCGGTAAACGGAAGTATGACTGCATTAGAGAGAGGGGGCAGGCGCCAGAAACTAACTTCAGCCACCTGAGGAAGAGGAGGAGGAGGAGGAGGAGGAGGAGGGAGGACGAGGAGGGAGGACGCGGCTGTTCGGCTCGCAGCGCCGGGCCTCGCGGCAAGGGCGCCGACCGTGCGAGGGAGCGCAGGGGCCACGTCGGGCCTCGGCCACGGGACGGCTCCCCGACCGGACCTGGCTCCGAGGAGCGGCCGGAACGCCAGGGCCCCCGGAGCCCAGCCGTGGCCCCCTCAATCTCTTCAGCCTCCTCCTCCTCCTCCTCCTCCTCCTCCTCCTCCTCCTCCTCCTCCTCCCCCTCCTGCTCCTCCTCCTCCTCCTCCTCCTCCTCCTCCCTTCTTCTCCTCCTCCTTCTCCTCCTCCTGCTCCTCCTCCTCCTGACTTCGATCAACCGAGATGACCGCTCCTCCTCCTCCTCATCCTCCTCCTCCTGCTCCTGCTCCTCTCCTCCTCCTCTCCCTCCTGCTCCTCCTCTCCTTCCCTCAATCCTCCTCTCCCATCTTCTCCTCACCTTCCCTCCTCCTGCTCCTCCTCCTCCTCTGACTTCAATCCACCGATATGACACGCTCCACTCCTCATACCTCGCTCCCTGCTCCTGCTCTGCTCCTCCTCCTCCTGCTCCTCCTCCTTCTCCTCATCATCTCCTCCTTCCTTTCCTCCTACCTGCTTCCCCCTCCTCTTGACTTCTATCCGCCGAGATGACCGCTCCCCCTCCTCCTCCTCATCCTTCCCTGCTCCTGCTCCTGCTCCTCCTCCTGCACCTCCACCTCCTCCCTCCGCCTCCTCCTGCTCCTCCTCCTCCTCCTCCGCCTCCTCCTGCTCCTCCTCCTCCTCCTCCTCCTCCTCCTGAGTTCTATCCACCGAGATGGCCGCAGGGAGCTCCGACGCGCGCCAGCCAACTGCGCCAAACAACCAGGCACAACCATGGGCGCAAGGAGCGTGACTCCTTCAGGACCTGATCGACGTTAGACAAATCATGTCGGTGCATGGATTCCCCTTATCCCGATTGTGTCGGATCCCTGGCTGCAGCCCGAGAAAGGGCCCGACAGCTCCGCGGCGGGACGCGGGCGAGGCGCCCCCCAACCCGGGTGCGCCGAAAAGCACACACACACACACACACACACACACACACACGCACACACACACACACACACACACACGCACGCACGCACGCACGCACACACACGAACGCACGCACGCACGCACGCACGCACACAACACACACACACACCAAAAAAACACACACACACTCACGCACCGCACGCACCAGCACGCACGCACGCACGCACGCAAGCACGCACGCACGCACGCACAACACACACACCACCACAGGTTACACAACAACACACACACACACACACTAAGCACACACCACACATAAGGAAACGGAAAAATACGCGCACGCACGCACGCACGCACTCACGCACGCACGCACGCACGCACGCACGCACGCACGCACGCACGCACGCACGCACGCACGCACACACACACACACACACACACACACACACACGAGCGGCGAACGCATCCGCAGCCACGTCCCCGCGGCGCGGACTCCGCGGCGCGATCCTGTGGACTCGCGGCCGCATGGATACCCAGAACCCCTCGCGCTGTGAAAAAACACGACGGGAGGTTTTTCACGATTTTCAGCCTCTGGGGGCCCTTACCAGACCCCAGGAGCGTTAAGAAACGACTCAGGATGAAAAACTGGTCCAGGGGACGGGGTCGAGACCTCCAGGGGTCGACGTTGTGAAAAAGTCATGTCTTCGGGGGTCTGGGTACGCTCCGCGCGGGGCATCCGTGAGGAAGCACCCCGCATCCATGGGGCCGCCGCCCAGGGGCCCGGCCAGCCTCGTCGTGGAGGTGGACACAGAGGTTCCCCATCGGGACCGACTGACCCGGGTCAATCCAAGTCCGGAACAGTCAGGCCTTGCAGGATCCTGCAGGATCCTGCACCCGAGCCCGGGTCAATGGATCCTGCAGGATCCGGCGCTCTGGCTGACCCCCGTCTGCATCGACCCCCGTCTCTTGAGCCCCGACTTGGGCCCACGCTCGGGCCCCTGGCAACCACCCGGCACGACTCGAGGCATCCCCGGAGCGCCCTCCCTGAGCGCCGACGTCGCGGAAAAAGACGCAGCGTCGCCCAAACTCACGCCCGGAGCCCGAGACTTCCTGCATCGCCTGTCGTACCGCATCGACCTGTGCGCGCCCCCGGGGCCCGAGGGAGGCGAGCACGCCCAGCCCGAACGAGGGGCGACGCCAGGACCTCGAGGCCCAAGGCTCCCGGCCGCAGGGTGCTCCCCTTGGCGCGGAGCCCGGTGGGCGTCCGGGACCGCTCCGCCGCCGCAGAGGCTCGCGGGCGAGCCCCCGACAAGTGGGGGCGCGCCTGCTCGCGTCCGCGCGCTGGCGCGCGCCGGCCAAGTCGGGGCAAGCTGGTGAGGCCTCCGTTAATAAGAGACCGAATCTCCATCGGAATCCGAAGTCGAATCGAATCGGAGTCGGGATCGATCGACACCGAAGCGGGTCGAGTCGGAGGAGAGTCGACGTGAGCCCCGAGGGCGGGGGCGCGCCTGTTCACGTCCGCGCGCGCTTCGACCAGGTGCCCCACGACAGCGACGTGGCCCTTCTTGGCCGCCACGTGCAGGGCCGTGAGGCCGAAGTCGTCCGCCGCGTCGGGGCTCTCCCCGCCCTTGCAGGGGGGGCCAGGAGGTCTGCGCAGGAGCAGGCCATGGAGCGCGTGCCTCAAAGATTCGCAACAACCTCACGCCAAGCTGCTGCAATCAGAGATGCAAACAAAGCTCTTCTTGCACTACCACAACCTGGGTTCACGACAGGGCTAGAAGAACAATCACAGCATGGCCTAAGGAACACCGAGCCCCCTCCGAACCCAAAGCGGTCCTAATTTCAGCGTCTGGAATGTGGGTCGCCTAACTTCGCGCATCGTGCCCCGCGATGTGCCACGCGCGGTGATCTTCGCGCCCTCGCGCCCTCGCGCCGCCCCCTTGGACAACGACACGCGAAGCGCGATTATCTTCGCGCCCCCGCGGGTGACCCTGATAGCGCCTGCTACGGGGCACGCCCGGTGCTGACGAGCGGCGAATATCCGTACCCGCGCCCTCGCAGTCTGGACTCCAAGGCGCAATCCCGCGGATTCGCGCTCGCACGGACACGTTCCGCACGGGGCATCCCCGAAAACTGCCCCGTATCCGCGGGGCGGGGTCGCGGCCCAGGAGCCCGGCCCGCGAGGCCGCGGATACGGACGAAAACCCCAAAAGGTCTTCGTGGGAAGAAGCCCAGGAGAGAGTTTTTCAACGATTCGCCGTAACGCCCGTTGCCAGGCACGCCGCTGAGCATCGGTGCATCGGTTACCCGATCTCTATCCCGCTGGCGTGGCCTGGGCCCCACTGGATGATTTACCCTCGTAGATGGGGATCAGGGCCTCGTAAACCTGGACACGCTAGACCAAGACATCTCTCAAAAAAAATCAGACAGCAGCACAACAAAACAACTGCACTGCCACATTTCCAGAATATACCTTGGAAGAGGCCCTAGGAGCATGCAAAACGCCCCTAGACCAGGACAAAGACCCGAATCCTGCAGCGAAGTAAAACAAAGACATGCACTGGACGACCAAATCTGACTTTGCAGGAAAGGATGCCGCTTCCCCGGCTTGCCAATGTCCTGGTCAGTCTCGGTCCTGGTCTCCGGTGGCCAGAGGGCACATGATCCGTCCCCTTTCTGTTTCGAGGGGCCTATCCCCAACGTGGGGCTGAGATATCATGGCCCGGCGGGAGTGGGGATAGGTTGAACGATACTGGACCACCCCTCCTCCCCCCCGCCCAGTGACGCCACGATTCGCGCCAGCGTCTTCTGGGAACGGCTCCACTGCTCGTAACTGGCGTTGCCACGAGAGGGCTGAAAAGAGCCTGGCCAGTGAGTCCGTTGCAATGGGGTCCCAAAACGTAGATGCAACAGTTGGTTGCGAGAACTATTGCGCTCAACTACCGCGCGCAACTATTGCGCTGGTAAACTCGACAATTGAATCGGCCAAATCCGTGATTGCATGGCCACACAGAACTATTGCATCTTGACGCGCCAACGGTTGCGAACGACTGCTTGTAAAAAGCGAGAGAAGGAACTACTACATCGGGAAACTAGGTATTGCACCCGAGCGCACGAATTATTGCATCTCACTTTGCGCATGGGATAAGATGTTAACTCTTGAATGCACTCTCGCCTCCATGCTTGTGGTCCTCTTTGCAGGTGACATCATAGACCGACCCCGAGTCAAATAGAGTGGTTCCAAATCGCCGGCGATCTGATTTTACTCCAACGTTCGTTCCTCGATGTGACAGATCTGGGCGGACAACTGGCCCCAGGGAAGGCGTCGGAGCCTTACAGATCGACCGATGTCAGGGTAAGAAAATATGAAGGGGAACTGGGACACACAAATAAATACACACAAACAAAAACATTCCCCATATTTTCCTATAGTTTCTGGGTTTTTGTCTTCCCCCCCACTTCCCATATTTTCCCATATTGTCTGGGAATCGCCGATTAATTGTGTCTGTGTGTTTTTTCCCCTCCTGAAAATAGAAACCCCAGCAAGGGGGGGCACTAAGCGTTCGAGCCCAGCTGGAGGCCAGACTGCAGCTGGACTGCAGTCGAAGCATGACCACGAGGACGCGGGCTGGGATCATGGGCTCTCTCGACGAAGGCCCGAGGCCCCATGGAGATATTCCAGAGACGAGCAGCATTCAAAAACAGAGGCCAAGACAGAGCCCGTCGGCAAGCCAAACCACGAAGAAGCATAAGGCGATCCCTCCTGAGCTAAGATGTTTCATGACCCTCGTGTGGCATGTAAGTGAAGGGGCCCAAGGACACACCAATAAATACACACAAATAAGAATGTTCCCCATATTGTCCCATATGTTCTGGGTTTCTGTCTTCCCCCCCATTTTCCCATATTTTCCCATATTTTCTGGGGGATCGAGGATTAATTGTGTCTCTGTGTTTCCTTTTCTCCTGAGTAAGCCACGGAGCAAGCCAGGCTTCGCCGGATGATGGTAAGCTCCACGAGACTGGGCCGAATGTCAAGCAATGGGCCCTGGGACACACAAATAAATACACACAAATAAAAAACTTCCCCATATTTTCGCATAGTTTCTGTGTTTTTGTCTTCCCCCCACTTCCCATAGTTTCCCATATTTTCCTGGGGATCGCCGATTAATTGTGTCTGTGTGTTGTTTTCCCTCTTGAGTCAAGCAAGGATGCACCAGGGCAGAAACTGAATTCGACCTTCCAGGAACTGCGCTGCAATCCAGCGGATGGGAGGCACAGGAGCGGGTAATGCACAGGTCGGCGCTGTCCTGACACTGTTGTGTGTTCACTGCCTTGGGCGCCCTTCTGGCCACGGCTGCGATCCGCAGACCACACCCCAAGCAGGGTTCAGGGGGCGACTCTTCTTAGAGTTAAGTCGGGCCTGTCCCCCTGCAGGGGGATTTCCGACGACAAATTACAAAAAGACTCCAAGCATGCTAAAAACATGATCCAAAAATAGTCTGGGGACTATGTTTTTAATATTGTTTGACCTTCTTGGGGTGTTTCGGGGGAAATTTTCATTTTTCGTCGAAAATCCCCCTGTAGGGGGACACGCCCGACATAATCTTAGAGGGGGAGAAGGGTGGGGAGCGGGGGGGGTACACCCCCCTGATGGACGAACAACACACACCCATACCCGTAGGGGGGACAAAGGAGGGCCGTGGGTGCGTGCTGTCGGCTGTGGGTTGCTCGAACGGGAGCCTCCCCCTGGGATCCGACATCACGCGCCACGCGCATAATGAGCCAGTCCTCCCCACTCCAACCCCTTCACTAGGAGCAGAACAACGGCATACACATCCACTTGTGGCGCGGAGCGCCAAAAGTGTATGTGTATGGCGTTGTTTCGTCTTCGACGGCCCTCCTCCCTCCGACCCCCCTGTGGAATGGTCAGCGTCCGATCGGCGGCGAGCGAGGGGGCGGGAACCGAGCAGGAGGAAGGCCTTCTCCTCAGAAGGTTCGGGAAGTCCCCTGGCCTCCTGAGAAGTTTGCTAAGCCTTCCCCGAAAGCGCGGAAAAAAAACCTCCCTGAGGGCTGGAGGGTTTCTGAGCAGCCTCGTCGTCTTCTGGGAAAGCCTTCTCCCTCCCGCTTCCCCCACTGCTCGCCGCCGAGATTGGCCAGTCCTCTTCCCTCCGATTCCCCAATGGGATGAGTGTGCGCTGCTCGTTCGTCAATCGGGCTGGGCGAAAGGGGGGGATAGCAAAGGGGGGGTTCAGAATCAGCTCACGTAGCTGACTTTCCCAGCGCCTCCCCGCGCCGGAGGCGGCCATGTATCGAGGAATGGGCCCCTCGGTGGGGCCGAAACCAGCTGCATGCAGCAAATTTCGAACCCCCCCCCTTTCCCTATCCCCCCCTTTCGTCCGGCCCGAGTCACCTCGACCCTGCCGTTGACGGGGCCGCTCGAGGCAGGAGCGTCCAAGAGGGGGGGGGATGTCGGAGGCCATGGCCCGAGGCACGTGCGCGGCCCTGGGGCCGAGGAGGAGGAGGAGGAGGAGGAGGAGGAGGATGTAAGAGGAGGAGGAGGAAGATGGACGAGATGGAGGAGGAGGAGGAGGAGGAGGAGGAGGAGGAGGAGGAGGAGGAGGGGCCCCTCGCACCATTGAAAAGTCACGGCGGGGTCTTCTTCCACGCTTCCCCTGGCCTCTCGGGGGCGGCCGGCGGGCCCGAAAGGGCCTTCTCAAGTCGGGGGCCTCCGCGGGGGGGCGCGTCCCAAGAGGGGGCCGCCCAGGAGGGAGAGCCTGTCGCGCAACTGACGTTCGGTCGGGCGTGTCCCCCTACAGGCGGATGCAAGCTTCACAGGAGCACAGGCCAACAGTGGGGCCCGCTGGGCCAGAAAGCTTTGGGCAAGCTTCTTGCCAGTCCTGGCCGTCCAGAGGAAACCGCGCTATTCGAACAGAAGCGAGAAAGAAAAAAAACGGCTCCCAACGGCAACGTGCCACTGATACGTGTTCACACCCTCCTGACGACCCCTCCCTGACCACGACGGAAACCACCGCCACCTCAAGTTCAGAGACAAAACAGGACGGGCGGGATCCCAAACTCATCGAGGCCTGCCTCGCAGTTACGCTTTCGGTCCACTCTGCGCTGCGCGCCCCGCAGGTGCTCACGCGCACCCCGTCCCTCACAAACGGCCACGTGCCTGGAGCCATGGACACTCCATGGGGATACGCCGCGTCCAGAATAATCGAACAGCATGCTTCTTTACAGGAGGAACAGAAACGCTGCACAAGCACGAACTGCCAGAGCTCCGTGCGGACTCGTGGGATCGGCGCTCGGTGCACCCCTCCCCGGACCGAGGCCAGAGGCGCCGCCAGGAGCGCCTAGGAGAAGTCCGCGCAAATTACGCACATGCGTTTGTTCTGCCTTCTTGGACGCAAATTGCGCCATCACTTCCGAATGCGGTGGCTTCTTTTTTTCGGGGGCGGCCAAGAAGGGGGCGTCCAAGAGGGGGGGCGCAAATCATGGCCGGCGGCATGTGCGCGGCCCAGGGGTGAGGCCAGGAACGCAATGAAATAAGACGAGGCGCCATGAAATCTGACGAAATACCATGGCCCACGCCGTGATATCCGTTCCCCCCTTGTCATCACCCCCCTCTTTGCCGCCTCCAAGTTTTGTGGCCACCTCTCGCCAGGCCGCCTGCAGCAGCGACAGCAACGCGCCCTCGTCCCCGCGCTGCGCGACCCGGACGATCTCGGGCACCCGGCAGTCCAGGCTCACCGGGCCCCCCGCGCACAGGAGCGGCGCGGAGCCCTGCAAGGCCCCGGCGCCACCCCCCCCATGCTCGACTCCTCCTCGTCTCCTCCTCGCCTCCTACTCGTCTCCTCGATCCTCCTCCTCCTCCTCTCCTCCTCCTCCTCCTCCTCCAAGTCCTCCTCCTCCTCCTCCTCCTCCTCCTCCTCCTCCTCCACCTCCTCCTCACCTCCTCCTCCGCCTCCCCTCCTTCCTCCTCCTCCTCCCCTCCTCCTCTCTCCCTCCTCCTCCTCCACCACCTCCCTCCTCCTCCTCCTCACCTCCTCCTCCTCCTCCTCCTCCTCCTCCTCCTCCTCCTCCTCCTCCACCTCCTCCTCCTCTCCTCCTCCTCCCTCTCCTCCTTACTTATCCTCCTCCTCCTCCACCTCACCTCCTCCTCCTCCTCCTCTCCTCCTCCTCCTCCTCCTCCTCCTCCTCCTCCTCCCCTCTCCTCTCCCCTCTCCTCCTCCTTTACGTTTATTTCCCTCCTCCTCCTCCTCCTCCTCCCTCCTCCTCCTCCTCCTCCTCCTCCTCCTCCTCCTCCTGTTGTTGTTGTTACGGAGCAACACAGGGATGACACATGTCACCCCGAACACCGTGTGAAAGAGACAAATGGTGTCACTCGCATTCTGGGCGCCAACATGGGGCCGGGAACTGTGAAACGGCACAAGAGTGGCACGTGTCACCCCGAAAAGCGTATGAGACAAATTACCCTGCGACGTACCCAACCCATGTGCATCAAAGGCAAGAGGAGTAGGCCAACATTAGCAGGAATCACGACAGTGTAGACGCGGTGAATTGCTGCGCAAACTACATGGGATGCGCATGCGTCGCACGACTCGCATGACGACGATCGAAGGAACGAGGATTGAGGCCCCAGGCTCGAAGAATAACGGGGACAGGAACGAGGGGCAGGAGAAGGATGGAATGGGGGGGTAATCTGAATCTGCGTATCACCCCACTCCGCTGGGCCCCCCAGCAGCCCTCGAAAGTGGTGACTGTTTCGCAGATCGCAGCCCCCCAGGGATGGCGAGGTAGGATCTGAATCTGCGTATGGCCCCACTCCACTGGGCCCCCAAGCAGCCCTCCAAAGTGGCGAAAGTTTCGCAGATCGCAGCCCCCCAGGGATGGCGAGATCTAATCTGAATCTGCGTATGACCCCACTCCGCTGGGCCCCACAGTAGCCCTCGAAAGTGGCGACAGTTTCGCAGATCGCAGCCCCCCAAGGATGGCGCGGTCTAATCTGAATCTGCGTATGACCCCACTCCGCTGGGCCTCCCCCAGCAGCCCTCGAAAGTGGTGACAGCTTCGCAGATCGCAGCCCCCCAGGGATGGTGAGGTCTAATATGAATCTGCGTATGACCCCACTCCGCTGGGCCCCCCAGCAGCCTTCGAAAGTGGCGACAACTTCGCAGATCGCAGCCCCCCAGGGATGGCGAGGTCTCATCTGAATATGCGTATGACCCCACTCCGCTGGGCCGCCCCAGCAGCCCTCGGAAGTGGTGACAACTTCGCAAATCGCAGCCCCCCAGGGATGGCGAGGTCTAATCTGAATCTGCGTATGACCCCACTCCGCTGGACCCCCAGCAGCCCTCGAAAGTGGTGACAGCTTCGCAGATCGCAGCCTCCCGGGGATGGCGAGGTCTAATCTGAATCTGCGTATGACCCCACTCCCCCGCTGCCCCCCCCCCCCCCCCCCTGCAGCCCTGACAGTGGCGACAGTTTCGCAGATCGCAGCCCCCGAGGGATGGCGAGGTCTAATCTGAATCTGCACATGACCCAACTCCGCTGGGCCCCCAAGCAGCCCTCGAAAGTGGCGACAACTTCGCAGATCGCAGCCCCCCAGGGATGGCGAGGTCTAATATGAATCTGCGTATGACCCCACTCCGCTGGGCCCCCCCAGCAGCCCTTGAAAGTGGTGACAGCTTCGCAGGTCGCAGCCCCCCAGGGATGGCGAGGTCTAATCTGAATTGCGTATGACCCCACTCCGCTGGGCCTCCCCCAGCAGCCCTCGAAAGTGGTGACAGTTTCGCAGATCGCAGCCTCCCAGGGATGGTGAGGTCTAATATGAATCTGCGTATGACCCCACTCCGCTGGGCTCCCCAGCAGCCCCTGACAGAGGTCGACTTCGCAGATCACAGCCCCCCAGGGATGGCGAGTTCTAATCTGAATCTGCGTATGACCCCACTCCGCTGGGCCCCCCCCGCAGCCCTCGAAAGTGGTGACAACTTCGCAGATCGCAGCCCCCCAGGGATGGCGAGGTCTAATCTGAATCTACGTATGACCCCACTCCGCTGGGCCTCCCAGCAGCCCTCCGAAGTGGCGACAGCTTCGCAGATCGCAGCCCCCCGGGGATGGCGAGGTCTAATCTGAATCTGCGTATGGCCCCACTCCGCTGGGCCCCCGAACAGCCCTCGAGAGTGGCGACAGCTTCGCAGATCGCAGCCCCCCAGGGATGGCGAGGTCTAATCTGAATCTGCGTATGACCCCACTCCGCTGGGCTCCCCAGCAGCCCTCGAAAGTGGCGACAGTTTCGCAGATCACAGCCCCCCAGGGATGGCGAGTTCTAATCTGAATCTGCGTATGACCCCACTCCGCTGGGCCCCCCCCAGCAGCCCTCGACAGTGGTGACAACTTCGCAGATAGCAGCCTCCCAGGGATGGCGAGGTCTAATCTGAATATGCGTATGACCCCACTCCGCTGGGCCTCCCAGCAGCCCTCCGAAAAGGCGACAGCTTCGCAGATCGCAGCCCCCCCAGGGATGGCGAGGTCTAATCTGAATCTGCGTGTGACCCCACTCCGCTGCCCCCCCCCCGCCGCCCCTGACAGTGGCGACAGTTTCGCAGATCGCAGCCCCCCAGGGATGGCGAGGTCTAATCTGAATCTGCGTATGACCCCACTCCGCTGGGCCCCCCAACAGCCCTCGAGAGTGGCGACAGTTTCGCAGATCGCAGCCCCCAGGGATGGCGAGGTCTAATCTGAATATGCGTATGACCCCACTCCGCTGGGCCCCCCAGCAGCCCTCGAGAGTGGCGACAATTTCGCAGATCGCAGCCCCCCAGGGATGGTGAGGTAGGAGACAAACTGGCACGCAGGAGCGAGCGAGGTAGGAAGCAGGGGAAAGAGGAAAGGAGGAGAGGGCGGGAGAGGAGAGGAGAGGAGTCGCTCAAAACGAGAAGCCAACGCAGGAGGGTTGGGAGCAAATTGTTTCATTGGCATTCTGGACGGCAACATGGGGCCATGCCGTGTGAAACGACACAAGGGTGACACGTGTCACCCCGATAACCGGGTGAGCGAAACCCATAGCTTCACTCGTATTCTGGGCGCCACTATGGGGCCATACAATGCGAAACCACACACAAGTGACACGTGTCACCCCGAAAACCGGTTGACACAACCATTGGTTCACTCGCATTCTGGGCGCCGTCATGGGGCTTTACTGTGCGAGGCAGCACAAGGGTGACATGTGTCACCCCGAAAACCGTGTGAGAGAACGCAACCGTTTCACTACAATTCTGGGCGCCAAAATGGGACCATACAATGCGAAACCACACAACAGTGACACATTGTCACCCCAGAAACCGTGTGAGAAAAACCCTCTGTTTCACTCGAATTTTGGGCGCCATCATGGGGCTTGACTATGTAAAACAACACACGGGTGACACGTGTCACCCCGAAAACCGTGTCAGAGAAATCATCAGTTTCACTCCTGTTCTGGGCGCCAACATGGGGCCATACCATGTGAAACCACACAGGGGTGACACGTGTCAACCCGAAAATCGCATGAGAAAAACAATTGCTTCACTCGAGTTCTGGACGCCAACATGGGGCCAATACAATGTGAAACCACACATGGATGACACGTGTCACCCCGAAAACCGTATGAGACAATCAAATGTTTCACTCGCATTCTGGGTGCCAACACGGGGCCATACCATGTCAAACCACACAGGGGTGACAGATGTCAAACCGAAAATCGCGTGAGAAACACCAATTGCTTCACTCGAATTCTGGGAGCCAACGTGTAGCCATACAACGTGAAACCACACAAGAATGACACGCGTCACCCCGAAAACCGTGTGAGAAAAACCAGATGTGTTACTCGTACTCTGGGCGCCAACATGGGGCCATGCACTGTGAAACCACGCAGGAATGACACGTGCCATCCCGAAAACCGCGTGGTGTAACACATTGGTTCGCTCGCATTCTGGGCGCCAACATGGGGCCATACAGTGTGAAACCACGCAGGGGTGACACGTGCCACCGCGAAAATCGCATGAGAAAAACCAATTGCTTCACTCGAGTTCTGGGCGCCAACATGGGGCCATACAGTGTGAAACCACACACAAGGAAGACACGAGTCACCACGAAAACCGTGCGAGAAAAAACCATTGTTTCACTCGCATTCTGGGCGCCGATATCGGGGCATACAGTGTGAAACCGCACAGGGGTAAAACAGGTCCCCCCGAAAACCGTGAGAACTACAAATTGCTTCACTCGATTTCTGGGCACCGACATGTAGCCATACACCGTTAAACCACACAAGAATGACACGTGTCACCCCGAGAACCGCGTGAGAAAAAAATGCTGCTCCACTCGCATTCTGGGCGCCAACATGGCGCCATACAATGCGAAACCACACACAAGTGACACGCGTCACCCCGAAAACCGTGTGAAAAACCAATTGTTTCACACGCATTCCGGGCGCCAACATGGGGGCATACAATGTGAAACCACACAAAAAAGACACGTGTCACCCCGAAAACCGTGCTAGAAAAACATAGTGTGTCACTCCTATTCCGGGCGCCAACATGGAACTTCTACTGCGTGGAACAACACAAGGTGACACGCGTCACCCCGAAAACCGTCTGAGAAAAACAAATGTGTCACTCGTACCCTGGGCGCCAACATGGGGCCATACACGGTGAAACCACATGACACGTGTCACCCCGAAAACTGTGAGAAAAACACATCGTTTCACTCGTATTCTGGGCGCCAACATGGGGCCACAGAGTGTGAAACCACGCAGGGGTGACACGTGTCAACCCGAAAATCGCGTGAGAACAAAAAAAATACTTCACTCGAATTCTGGACACCAACATGGGGCCAAAACAATGTGAAACCACACAGGGATGACACGTATCACCCCGAAAACCGTGTGAGAAAAACACATTGTTCACTCGCATTCTGGGCGCCAACACGGGCCCATACAATGTGAAACCACACAGGGTGACGCACGTCACCCCGAAAATCGTATGAGAAAAACAAATTGTTTGATTTGAATGCTGGGCGCCTACACGGTGCCACACAATGTGAAACGACTCAGGCGTGCCGCTCGACACGGGGACCCACCCTCCCCCGTGGCCCCAGCGCGGAGATAGCGACCCCTGATTCCTGGGCGCCGCTCGCCACGGGGACCCACCCTCCCCCGTGGCCCCAGCGGAGAGATGGCGGCCCCTGATTCCTGGGCGCCGCTCGCCACGGGGACCCACCCTCTCCCGTGGCCCCAGCGCGGAGCTGGCGACCTTTGATGCCTGGGTGCCGCTCGCATCGGGTCCCACCCTCCAGGTGGCCCCAGCGCGAGGATGGCGACCCTTGACTCCTCCTTGATGCCTGATTCCTGGGTGCCACTCGCCACGGGGACCCGCCTTCCCCCTGGCCCAAGGGCGGGGATGGCGACCTTTGACTCCTCCTTGTTTCCTGATTCCTGTGCGTCGCTCGCCACAAGGACACAACACATTGGAATGACCATGACAAGGCCGGCGATTCTTAATCCTTGGCCCGTTGGCAAAATAAGCCCCTGTGACCTCAAGACGGCCAGACCCCCCTCCTACGTTTCACTATTGTACGGTGGTGTCCATCGAAGTTGTTGCACTACTCCCTTGTGGCGTTTTCGCTCAGACGCATTGCTCGTGCGGCAGGTGATGTACAGCGATTGGGTTGGCGATTTTCAGACACGTATGAGACACAGGTGTTCTTGGTTTCCAGGCGGCGGGGGCAATGGGGGGAGCCTGGTAGTGCACTGGCCCACCCACCTACCGCCTGGGCGTATCGACGTCGTTCAGTGTACACCCTCACTGTTTGTTTGCCTGACTTCGCTGCGGAATCAACCGCGTGTCTAAAACACCTGGTTAAGCCGCCGTGTCTTGGTGCTGCCGAGGTGTTTATATACGCACATGGTAACAGCTTTGTACCACACACACCCGCATGTAACAACGAGGACCTTTTCGGCTTCCCGTTCTTCGCGTGTCCGGAGAAGCTCAGGGGTGACGACAGGAGTTATACTCAGATCGCTACGCGATCAGGCAGAGTCTTCAGAGTCTCCTCCTCCTCCTCCTCCTCCTCCTCCTCTTCCTCCTCCTCCTCCTCCTCCTCCTCCCCCTCCTTCTCTTTCTCATTATCCTCCTCCCTCTTCTCCTCCTCCTCCTCCTTCTCCTCCTCTTCCTCCTCCTCCTCCTCCTCCTTCTCCTCCTCCTCCTCCTCCTCCTCCTCCTCCTCCTCCTCTGCCTCCCCCTCTGCCTCCTCCGAGAGAGGCTCAGGCAGCTGCAGTATATCGGCTACGCTGCTGGGGCACAGTTTGCAGTTTGTTTTGCGAGGCTCGGGCAGCAGGCACGAACCCCCCGACAACAGAAAGTACGGCAGGGTTCGGAGCCCACGGCTGACTCCCCAAATCTCTGGAGGTGTGATTTATTCAATCTGGCCGTTTCTCTTAGATTTCGGCCCCCGGGGCACGTGGCCAGCTTCAAAAACACGCAGTTCTCTCAGGCCGACTTGAGTACAGCGCCGAGGGAGGGTAGCAGCAGGCAGGGAGTAGCTTGCACCATCTCTTCTCCGCACCCTTTTGGATCAGGTTTTAAGCCCGGCAGGGGCGATGGTTGCCCAGCGCCTGAGACAACAGTCAACATCCATCTGAGAGAGAAACGGCGCGAGGAACCGCCCCCGGGAAACAGGTCGGGACTTCTGGGGCCGCGCCTTGAAAAAAATCGCCTGGTAGAGAGGCCAATTCGAGTCAGAGGAAGTCCAAACGGAGACCGAACACTCCGTATATCAGGCATAGGAAAAAATGGTCGAGTAATCGTCCCAAGACTATTTGTTTGACTATTTTTAAATATTCCTCCTGTGGAGGAACATGCTCGACTCAAACTTAGACACCGCCGATGGTCGGAAGCCTGGGTCCGCCTCCAAATTCTTGCCAGAGCGCACCCCGAGACAACTCCCAAGGATCGGTTTGTATACGCGGGAGCAGGCCCCCTGTCGCGCCGCGAAACAGTCGCAGCGGCCACTTGATCTTAGTTTTGTGTACCGCGGCTGCGGGCGGATTGATTGGTCTTCTCAGCCCTGGAGATTCCCGATCGTTTCGACTCTGGGCCCGACGCCATGACCGATAAACCGGAAAGAAACAAATATTTACGGGGAGGAGGTCAAGACTCTCTGGGAACCCTTCGAGTCTGGGGCTGAGCAACATGTCAGTCGGCGTGGACCCCGAACAGGTCACGCGTGCACTCTCAATGCGCAGCAGCGTGTGTGTGGGGGGGGGGACAACATCTGAGTGTGGCGCATAAGGTATATTGCAATCTATGCGGCGCAGTCTACAGAGACATCCGACGATGTGTTTTTGTTCATTGCGCGGCCCCAAAAGTCCCGACCTCTTCCGAAGAGACCAAGGGTGGCCCCAGACACCGAGCCGATGATACTCGGAACGAATATTACCGCCACCGTGCGCTAGCACCACGAAGCCCTTCAACACAACGCAGGCGGCGCAGCGTGGCCCGACAAAGGCCGTGCGCGATCGGCAGAACCAAACGAGGCGAACACTTGTTACGTCGCAGCGCGGCAGAGGCAGTCCGCACGTGCGCTCGGGCGGGCCGGGAAGCGGCAGGCGCTCACTGTTCGGTGGCAGGGGAGGGAGAGGGGGGATGAGGCGACCGCGGGGCAGGCGAGAGCGAGGGAGAGCGCTCACATGGCGGAAGCCGCTGGCGGAGCGGCCAGGGCGGCCAGCCGGTGCTGCACCCCCGGCAGGCGGGCGCGGGGCGGCGGCGCGGCCAGGCCGAGGGGCTGGGGCAGAGGCTGCAGCAAGCGAGGAAAATACACGCCTGGGCCAACAGACGCCCTGAAGCCTAGATCGAGGCACGGCCGCCAGTCGACAAAACTAGTACCGTCGAAGATCTGGGCGCCCCCCTGGAGTTCAGTCGGGCACGCCCCTCCACAGGCAGGACCTTGACGAACAGTCAAAAAATAACCTGGGGACGACTGTTTGACTGGTTTTGAAAACATTTTTGCGAGTTGCTTGACTATTTCTTATACTCTTCTGGCAAATATCTGCCCGTAGGAGGACGTGCCCGACCTAACCCGGAGGGGTACTCTCTGTAGAAAGACCTTCACGAAAAGTCAAAAGAGTAGCCTGGGGACGACTTTTTGACTAGCTTTGAATATGCTTGAACATGGTTTGACTATCTTTTTCACGCTCATCCAAAAATCTGCCTGCAGGGGGGAGGACGTGCCCGACCTGACCCTGAGGGGGGTGCTCTCTCAGAAGAAGGAAGGATCATGTCTTAAATAAAAAAAACGGCATGAGCATCAATTGTCGGCGCTCTGCGCGGATTTCTTGGATCTGCGCTGGACCCCCCTCCCTGGCGCGCCGAGCGCGCCAGGGGAGGCGCCAGAGGCGCAGCCTGGGGGGGGCCTAGCGCGGATCCAAGAAAACCGCGCGGAGCGCTACAAGAGTGCATGGTTTCGGCGTTTGCTCTTCTTCGATATCTGGGAGGCCGAGGCCCCACTGGCCCAGAGCACTCTCTTCGGTGCGACTGTTTTCCCACCGCCACCACCAGAAGTGAAGGGG